AGACAGAGCCTCAAGCTGTCCTCCTGGGTAGAGTGCCATGACATCACAGCTCACAGCAACCTCCAACTCCTGAGCTCAAGCAAGTTGCCTGCCTCAGCCTCCCAAGTAGCTGGGACCACAGGCACCCGCCACAACGCCCAGCTATTTTTTTGGTTGCAGCTGTCATTGTTGTTTCTGGTGGGCCTGGACTGGATTCGAACCCACCACCTTAGGCGTATGTGGCTGGTGCCTTAGCCACCTGAGCCACAGGCGCCAAGCCTCTAGCTGGAATCTTGAGAAAGAATTCTGAGAACCTTTCAACAGGTTCAGGCAAATTTTCTTTAGAGAACAAACTAAAGCATCAGACCTAACGCAACAGAAAGCTGACAAATTTGCATCTCAATCAGCTATAGACTGCTCAGCTTTTCACAAGTCTGATACAATAAATTGAATAAATAACCAAACTGATTCTCTGTAATTCAGCCATCTACCAAGTTTGAAAATGTTAGGCCTGGCCGGGTTCAGTGGCTTAGAACTGTAATCCTAGCACTCTGGGAGGCCGAGGCAGGTGGATTGCTTGAGTCCAGAAGTTTGTAACCAGCCTGAGCAAGAGTGAGACTCCCATCTCTACTAAAAATAGAAAAACAAAACAGTAATAACCAGGTGTGGTGGCAGAAGCCTGTAGTCTCAGCTACTCAGTAGGCTGAGGCAAGAGGATCACTTGAGCCCAAGAGTTTGAGGTTGCTGTGAGTTAGCCTGACGCCATAGCACTCTACCCAAGGTGAGGGTGAGACTCTGTCTCAAAAAGAAAGAAAGAGAGAGAAAGGAAGAAAGAAAGAAGATAGAGATAGAGAGAGGAAGGAAGGAAGGAGAAAATGTTAGGCCTAAGCAGAAACCTTGAGCCTTGCCAGACACGCCCAGACAGAGGGAGTGGAGATTTCTGGCCCTGAAAGACAAGAGGTTATGCATACTCAAAGAAGCAAGGAGCAAGGAGGCCAGGAGATAAACCATGTGGAATCAGCAGACCTTCCCACTGAGGATGCTAGGTCAGCAGGTTTCCCAGATAATTGGGAAAACCAAAATCAGAGGCAGTAGCAAAGGCACGGGATAAGAAGTTGATGTTCAACTCACAATCCTGACCCTGCACCTTCACTTTGCTTTAGAGACCTGTCAAGTCTCCCAAGTGCTTAAACACCAACTCAGCACCATGTTGGCACAATCTCTGGGACTCCTCCCACTTTAAGGGAGGAAAAAGCCAAGTTTGAGGCAGCAATAAAGTGACCAGCCCTAATGCTACCAATACCATAAAATAAACCAAATCAGTGGACGATCTATATGTGAGTGTGTATGTGGGAGGGGGACACTTAGAATACAACCTTCCTGACACCACAGTGGGTCCAAAAAAAGAACGGACTATACAACAGTCCTTTGGTCCGGATGAGATACAAACAGCTTTGTCTGGGGATGGTGATTTGTTTTTCTGTTTTTCACATCCTCTGTGCAGCCTAAAGGCACCCATCAGGGAGGTAAGCAGGAAGGGGCATGATCTAAAAGGGAGGAAAGAGGAAGGGACAGAAAAAGCCAAATGCTCCAACCTGTTCCTTCCAGAAGTTATTAATCTCCTAACATCTCTTGGGCAAAGCAGAAAGCTTATTCAGGGAACAAGGTCTGACTCTTCCCATCTCCCAAGATTTCTTGCTGATGTGGAGAAAAGCCTGCCAAGAACCTTTAGGCTATTAGGAAATATTTTTGAGTGGCTAAAGGCTAAAGGTTGGTTATAAATGATATACTTTCTGCCCTCTCCCAGGCAGCTTCTGAATTCCCTCCCTTTCTCCTGCCCTTAACCTCTCCAGCTAAGCTTCCCTAGACACGGGAACACTCAGGAATCTCCTCACACATCAGAGAAGGTAAACAGGGAGGCTTCTACACAGACAGAAGATAGCAGCTGGTCCAAAGCTTTCTGTTTCTACAGAGTAAGCACTCTAGAAAGAAAAGGCATGCTGGTGGTGACTCAGGGAGTCAAACCTGGGCTTTCGGCTCGGCGCCTATAGCTCAACCGGCTAAGGCGCCAGCCATGTACACCTAAGGTGGCGGGTTCAAATCCCCAGCCCGGACCCGCCAAACAACAATGACGGCTGCAACCAAAAAATAGCCGGGTGTTGTGGCGGGCGCCTGTGGTCCCAGCTACTTGGGAGGCTGAGGCAGGAGACTCGCTTGAGCCCAGGAGTTGAAGGTTGCTGTGAGCTGTAATGCCATGGCACTCTGCCCAGGGGGACAGCTTGAGGCTCTGTCTCAAAAAAAAAAAAAAAAAAAAAACCTGGGCTTTCTCCATCTAAGGGGACTAAGCATCAGGGAGAGAGATTATGTGAGTTCAATTATCATGCAGTTACTGCTGGGGGCAGGGAAAGAAAGGACAGAGGGTGGCCTAAGAAGGAGGGTAGGAGTGTAGAGGCTGGGAATTGCTTTGGCCCTACTGTTGGGCTGAACCTACTGACCTGCAGCAATTAGGACCCTCCAAAGAGAAGGGAAAGAAGGAAGAGGGGGTGCAGATTTCATGTAGACAAGCATCCCCTGCCTGCTTTCAGCACCACCAATGGTGTGGCAAGGAGAAGGGAACAAACTGAGCATCATTCCATAAAGGCCCCCTTCTTCCCTACTCCTTCCTTTCCGTGGAGTTGAAGGACACTGAGATGTTCTCACAGTGCACGGGAGGAAACGGCCTTTGGAGAATTATAAAGAAGCAAAATTAGGCAAGAAATTGTATCCAGCAAGCACTTAGGAGACTCCATAACGACCTGACTAAAAAATATCTAGATTCTGGCTGAATTGTCCTTGGGGTGAAGGCAAATCTGCTTCCTCTCTCTTGCTGCACCCCAGCCTCTGAATCAGGAGTTCCTCTTTCTCACAATCAGAGAGCAACATGTTTACTACAAGGCAAGCTATGAAGCTATGTCAGGCACTGGGAGGAGAGGAGTCGGGCAATGTTCCTAGGTGGTGGAAAGAACACCCTGGACATCGGGTGGGGTTCTGGGTTTATCTGTCTTCTTGCGCAAGACAGAAGGTCGGTCTGAGCCTCGATTTCTTCATTCGCAAAACCCAGTACCCAGTACCCAGCAGAGCTGGATGAGGGTCTAATAGGCCTTCGGATACCTGGGAGGCACTATGCAGTAAGGTGGCATCGCTGGCTAAGTCTTCACCGCCCATCCCGCCCTCTCCCCAAGCCCACACTCCAGGAGCCACCCCCAGCCCGAGGCGCCTGTCTCACCTGGCTCCATACACAGGTAGGAGTAAAAGCCCTCGGATTTGAGCATGATGAGCAGAGAGCCCCAGCCCAGGAGGACTGCCGAGAAGAGGAGATTTTCCAACACCGCCGTGCAGGCCATCCACCAGCGGCGCCGATGGGCAGTGGCCAGGGTGGGTGCCATGGTGCAGCGCGGTGCGGCGGCCCGGCTCGGCTCTGCAGCCACCTGCGCACAGACCTCAGCGTCAGCGTCTGGCCCAGCCCAGCTGGTGCGGCCGCCCCCGGCCACTGCCGCAGGGCGCAGAACTTGTCACCCCTCCGCGGCCAGGCAGCAAAGAAAAGCAAGCCCTAGCCCTAGCCCTGCCCGGGACCTGGGCCACCCTCGAACCCAGGGCTGGCTTGCATTGCTACCCTCGGCTACGATAAAGCTGGTCCGGCCAGACAGAGAGATTTCTCCGTCAGCTCATTCCGAGGTAAACTGAGGCATGGAAGCAGGAAAGGAGTAATGCATGCTCAGGGACGTGGATCTAGTCCTGACCGCCAGCAGGACTGACATAGCTTAGGGGCCGTACAGGGAAGCCATTTGCTACCTGGGCAGGGCCATACCTGAGGGCTGCCGCTCCCGGAGACCCTGACTAGCGCCCTCCCGGCCTGACTCCAGACCCTTAACCAGCGCTGGTTCCTTCAACCACAAAATCAGCGCACGGAGCTCCGAGACGGCCCGCCCACGGCCCGCTCATTGGCCTAATGGCACAGGAACTGCGGCGCAATTGGCTACTGTTTAGGTCGCTAGGCACTGCGGCCACGCGAGCCCGGCATGGGAAAGGCGAAGCCGGTTCAAACCGGCGGCGCGAGCTAGCCGCGCGACCCCCTTCCCCGGCCGTTACCCCCGGCAATTAGCCCGTTTCCATGGAAGCGGACCCCGACCTTCCATCCTCCAGTTCCCATCTCTATTTGTCATCTCTTCCCTGAAGGCTCCTCATCCGCCCAGTCCCTTTCCTCTTTTATTCGCACATCTCCCTACGTCCCTTCTAGTAGGGAGCTTCTCCCCCTAACACTCTTGCCCCGGCCCAGATCCACGGGATCCAGCTCACCCGGTTCCTACTGGTGTGTATCGGGCCCGCCCGGCGCCTTTTCTGCCCCCTTTTATTCCAGCCCTTTTATTCCGACCCCAAGATGAAAACACTGCCGCCGGTTGATTGGCTGGGTTGGGGCTGGAAACAGGCATTGACCAATCAACAGCCACCCGCCCGCCCCACCGCGCGCAGAAGCCGGTTCCGGCCGGACTGGAGACAAACAAGAGAGATGGGGGGGCCCGGGGGTAGCTGCGGGTTGTGCCGGGACTCTGTTGTCTTAAACTGGAGTCACGGCCCAGCTGGGAAGCCCCGGCAGCATTGCTCCATTGCCTCTCTGGAGCCCCACCCCGAGCCCTGACCCTGGGCTGGGTCACCAGCTTGGTGTTACGGCGCCCTCAGGACCTTCCTAGATGACCGTCAGTCCCGCTAGCGCACGGTCCTCGGCTCTCCTGCTGGCCTCTAAGTGGTCCCTAACTTCCCCTCAGCTCTGGGCACCACTCCCAGATGCTCTGGCTTCGCATAGTTCGGGTCGTTCCACTCTAGAAGTCCCCATTGGCTCCTCGCCACGCAGCCACAGGCTTTATGTTCTGGTTCCTCGCTCTCGTTCCCCTCTCGTTCAGTGACCCCCTTTCCAGGCACAGTCTGCCCATTTAGGCCCCCAGACCCCTGTCCAGGTGTGGTTTGCCTCTTGCCTGCTCGCCTAGGTGCCATCTGCCCAGTCCCTGGAAAGTGTCCCTTAGAGATCTGCAGGCGGGAGTTTGGGGTTTGTCTCCCCAGTCCTGGTATGGTGTCTCCTCTGGTCCCCCATCCAGACGGTGATCTCCTTAACCTCGTTGCCACTCTCCTTGGTCACCTTGGTGCCCCCTGTCCAGGTTGTCCACCCCCGTCTACCGGTTTCCCTGAGCCACCCCGACCCCTTCGAACACCCTGTTCCAGGACGTTCCTTTCAGATAAAGGCCCTCTCTGCAAGGGTGGCCGTGGGCAACGTCAAGCTACTAGCACAAACCCGGTCTTTGGTAGGGCGCGAGAGGTCCAGAGGGTTCTGGGCTCTGGGTTCCCAATCTATTAGCCGACGTGGACCTGCCCCAAGGAACAGCCAGGGCTGGAGGATGAAGCCGGGGTTCTGAAGGTTCAGTTGCCTGGCTGCGTCTCCTCGATTCGAGGCACAACCCCGAATCGAAAGACCCTGGGTCTCCCCCAGGTTCGGCTCAATCTCCCTGGCACTCTCCGGGAGGGAGCTGGCTTAACACCCCAGCGCAGTGGAAGTCCCAGCAGTCTCCTACTCCACCTCCCCCGGTCCGAGTGCGCCCCCTACCGCTGTGAATCCGCCGCTGGCCACCTGACGAGGGCAGCTTCTCCTAGACTTACCTGGTGCTGAAAGCTTGGGGCCTCTGAGCTGGTTACCTACCCAGTTACCACCTTGCGAAATCTCAAGCGCTTACGTTTCCACACCTGAAAAAATTTCCAGTCTCCCTCCGTCTCTTCCATGAGCAACCTGCCTGAGGACCTTCTCTAGGCCTCAAACACATCTTAAATATCTCTAAAATAATTCACTTTCTCCCCCAGAACTATTCGCCCCATTTTCTCTTAGATAAGAACACCATCATCTACTGAAGTTAGATACCTAGAACCATCCTTTCAGCAGGCACCTGCTGTGATTCTCCCTCTCCTTTACCCCACCTTCACCCCACCAATACAGCCTTGTCATCTAAATATTTATCTAATATGTCCATCTGTGTCCCTAGGACTTCAACTGTCATTCATCTAGACTCTAATTGCAGGTCCTCAAATCCATCCCCTACCCCAATCTAACTTGGTAAATCTGACCTCTGCTAAATTTCTTCAGAAACTTTTTTTTTTTAAGACAGAGTCTCACTTTGTCACCCTTGGTAGAGTGCTGTAGCATCATAGCTGACAGCAATCTAAAACTTCTGGGCTCACATAATTCTCTTGCCTCAGCCTCTCAAGTAGCTGGAACTACAGATGCCTGCCACAATGCCTAGCTATTTTAGAG